TCAGATCATACATCCAAGTTATCTGCACACTTTCAAGATAATCAGCTTGCTTCTTTATAAGTAGCAAAATTATTGTCTCCCTGTTAACGGTCTCCCAAGCCCTCATACATTTTCATGAAATGTTTACAAAGAAGGAGAAATGGTATTTGGAGGCATCATTCAGTATTATATTCAGTAATTACAACCTGCTATTGTAGAATTAGTAATCAATTTCTTTGGAAGATGCAGGCAGTTCTAAAAGAAATGTAGGTCAAACTTGCTCACACAGGGACTAAACTATATTCTGACTGTTAGGCACATAAATTAGGCATCGTACTTATTGCAATAATCTATTGATGTGTGATTATGCAAGAACAAGAGTTACGCTTGGCCTAGCAACCTAAACACAAAACTTGCAAATAATGGGGAGTGTGGAACCTGGAACTTTACCCTGAATATTATTTTCAATATTTTCCAGCTGTGAGAATCAGTATCTAATATAACAGAGTCATAGAGGGAAAATAATAAGAAAATTTATTCTATCCAGTGAACCAGATACCTCATAATTTTACTGAGGTAGAAATTTGCTGCTATTCCATTAGCTTTTGGATAATATGGACACATATCTTAACACCTGTGCAATGCACATAAAAAAGAAGCAGTGCCTGGCTGCATCTTGATTTTTTTCCCAAAATGCAGATACCCTCTTCCAAGCATAAAAATGAATGATTGTAGCATTGAATAAACAAATGTTAAACTAAATAAAAATTTATATCTTTATAATCTGATCCAAATGCCCTTTGGAATCCAATAAACCCTATTAGGCATTTGGGGTGGACTAGTAGAACAGAATTCCCTCTCTGCAGAGATCTGTAGCACCAATGAACTCCACAGAAATAAGAGATTGTGCTATACATTTGTAAACCCGGTGATTTCTACTCCCCTGCAGAAATTTCTCCTATTGTTGTGTTCTAAATTTCATATCTCAAACAAAGAATGAAGACACGTTAGAGAAACACTAAATAGCATTATTTCATTTGGCTGCTATGTTTCAATGCATCTACCTCCATGTACCTGTCTAAATCAAAGGATGAATTACTAGTAAATGAAAATAAAGATTTTGTGCTATTGTCTTCCAAGTATTTTATTTTGCTGATACTTTTACAGTTGGCTGCTTGTCCTAACATTTGTGATTTACTCCAGCTTCAATTCATACTCACCAACTTTAGAATTCACATTGGATGGTTTTCTCATTAGAGAACGTTCTGGGCAGAAATGTGATCAGAATTTACATAGGGTTTTTATTCTTTTGGCTCATGAAAATACATCTCAAATTCTGGACATGTAGCAGTTTAGATGATACGTGGCATTTTTTGCTGTATCAGAACTGTCCTTCTGCCCTTGCCCTTTAATCTTCAATGATAATCGAGAAAAGATTATTAGTAAATGCTATCCTCTTTATATTTTATTAAACAGCTCCCAAGTGTTACAGTGATAATAACTCTTGCTTCCTCTCCCCAGCACTTCTACAGTATCAAAATATAATTCATAACTAAATTGATGATGATGATGATGATGATGATGATGATGATGATGATGATGATTCTCCTTCATCACTCTACATATGCAAGTGCAGGGATAATGTATTTGCAACTTCAGATAGCTTGAAGTAAAATTTCTATGGTATATCCCTTGACTTTTTGTTCCTTTATTGTTAATCCTAAAGGCAGAGCTGTTCAACATATTTTTACTGTGAATTCCCAGTCTTCTTTATACTTAATCATAGATCCCTTTTCAATGTGCTCCTTGACTTTCATTACTAAGATTGGAAATCATTCATATTTTCAGCTATCAGAGTAGTATCATCAGTACAGCTTAGCTTATTGATGTTTCTTCCTCTAGTTTAAAAAAATGATGGTCATCTTTTTCCAATTCCTCAATATACATTTAGCATATAACATATAAGTGGAATAAATCGGAAGAAATTATAACTGTGGTTTAACAAACCATAGATAAACAAGCCATGGCTTAGACTGAAGTGTCTATTTAGTTTAAATATTCTCTGCAGGTGCTTTTTCTCCTGTCTTTTCTTTTTTACTAATCACACTGTTCATTCTATGACAGCCTTTTAGGTATTTGAAAACTGCTAGTCACATTTAATCCAAAGTATTATTAAATGAACCTGAAAAAATTGAAGGCAATAGAAAATAGAAAAATCAAGGCAAGAATACAAGACAAGATGTCTTAGAGTCTCAATGAGATTATGACCATAAAAATATAGGTGAACTGTTGCTCAGATCAGTTCAATTCAGGCTACAAAGAGATGGAGCAAATGAATATCAAATATCCAAACTATGGACATTAAGTCATGTAAACCCAAAATTCAAAGCTAAATAGCTGAATAAACTATGATTAAATTACCCACAAGTATGCCTTTGTAGTTTCTCTTGTATCATATTCAAACTCACGTTTGCCTTTCATAAATGTATAATCCCTGCAAATAAAATTCTTAAATTTTATTGGTAATAGCAAAAGTTATAAACCTTGCAGAATGGTTTCATCATCAATGATTTTCATGTTTTGTTTGGCTATTGTCCTTCTTTTGGAATTTCTCCTTTTTTCCCCAGTGTCATTTTTTAGCACTGACTGACTGCTTCTTACAGTGGACTGGCAGGTTTTTGAAGACACTGATTTTAGAGTAATGAAAGAAATGTCCTTCTGGATTCGGCTCCAAGTGGGGAAAAAGTCACTGGAGACATGGAGGCTGCATGGAAAGATGGTTTATTGTTGGACAGGACAACATGGCTTGAGTCCTGAACAGAAAAGGTGATCACATGTTTCAATGTTGGTGGAGAAGAAGAGAAGGGCTGAGGAAGGGGCTTGCTAGGCTTTTTATAACCTGTTCAGTCCCACCTCTCTGTTTCCTGTTCCTGTGTAAGAAATGTATTCTGATTGGTTGTCAGACTCTCATGGGGCCATGCAGGGGCAACTCTCTAGGCTGTGTTTTGAATCTAGGTTTGGTTGAGTTCTCAGATGCCATGTGGTCAGTTGGGGCCAATATTATCATGCTTTCCTGTAGCTGAAGTGGAGAAGTCTTTATTATGTAAAGTGGACTAGCTTGGTCTTCTTAATAGCCCATTAACAAAGTGGGGATGGGCAGGAAGCTACAGGCAGCTATTCTGTCTTTTAAAACATGTTTCTTTATTTTCACATCCAGAGAAATATTCTGCCTTTTCAATATTTCCTAGGATATTTCATTTTTCTGGGAGAGGGCTGGGTGATAACTTCCTACAAGAGCATACTCAGAGAATAAGTTATACTGGGACTGTAATTGTGCCCTTTTTTTGCTAGTCTTGTGTCTCACACTGCCTCACCGTTTTGTAAAATAAAAACAAAACTGTTAACTTCTTCAGAAAAGAAAGTGAAGTATAGTGTGAATTGAATCTTAAGAAATGAGTACAAGAGGGAATTGAACTATATCTTGGAGGTTCCAAGGGAATATCATAGGCAACTTTTCTGTTATGCCAAGCTTTTCCCAAACTTCCTTGAGAGCTGCTACCTTGACCCTGTCAGTCAGAGAATCAATGCATCTTAAAAGGTTTTGCTACTGCAGAACTGTTTCCAATTTGGAAAAAAATAAACACTGCGATGCCGGATAAAAGGAAGCATCCATTTTACAATTCAAGAGATTCATTTTCTTATTTCAGCTGTTATGATTTAATTTCACCATCCAAAATGCATTACTTTTATGGCATTTGGCTTACGTAAGAGATCCAGCTTGCTGCTATGGTCTAATTGAGATCAACCCTGGATTCAGGATTTGAGGAAGACTTAAATCATCTTCCATTCCGTCCCCCACAAAGGATCTTGACAATAAGGGCAGCTTTCCAGAAGCTGGAAGAGGTAAGGAAGTTAGGAAAAAATATTCCTGCAAACAGATATGTTGGCCTTAGTGTGTTTTGTGAGATCAAGATCAACTGTTCCATTTTGAACTCCTTCAAGAAAAGGGAATTATTCTGGTAAAATAATACGAATAATAATGGTGATGGTGATGATTTCGTTTCGGCTTTTACTTAGGAAGCCATGAAGGGAGCCCTGGGTGGGCTGATAGCAGAGGCTGCTCAGCAGATAAGTCAAAGAAAAGCCGTTTCTGCTCCTCACAGATTTGAGGGCAGTGGCTTGCACAAGCTTTAAATGGGGCTGTCAGTCAATCACAGCGAAAGGGAGAAAGAAGGCAAGAGTGGTTGAGGCCAACGGTCGTTGGAGAAATGCCTCGAACGCCGAGCAGCCTCAATCCCTCGCTGCCCTTTCCTAAAGCAGGAGGGGGGAGCGGCTGCAGTAGAGTACGCAGGCGTCAAAAACTCAGTTAACCTTGCGTGGAGCGAGCCAGACGCGAGAAAGTACATGAGAGCTAAAGAGCGGTGTGAGAAAGTCCATTATTGAGAACGGCGGGGGGCGGGGATGAAAGCGACGGTTCATTCTATTCTCCATCGCTTTGTGGCCTACCTGGACACTCCAGAGAAAGCACAACTAAATGTGCAAATGGTTCTCTCATCAATCACAACAAACTTTTATTTAAAGATTGATAAACAAGCAAAACACTCTTTTTGTCCAAATGGTACAATCCATCTGCATTTTAACCAATCATAAAATACTCTCTTAGGGGTATCATAAATTACCGGGTAGAACTAAAACGCTAAGGCCAACGCACGCTAAGATTGTAGCTTTGAATGACATCATCCTTTTGCCTGAGAGTCGGAGGGGGCAGGACGGCGTCACGCCGCTGGAGAAGAGATTGACCATCGACCTTATCAATCACAAACTGATTTTGTTTTGAGCGGCATATGCTGAAAACCAATGCACCGAAGCCATGGACGGCCCTCTTGGCCCAAAGGCGGGAAAACATGAAAGTGACAGCCAATGGAAACGGTCTGGCGAAGCGCTTAACCAATCGCCTTTTGCTATTTGGAATCCTCCGATGGAAGGCATCGGCGAATGAACGGAAGGGTAGCGGGGTCCTTCGTGTGCTGTTGCTAAGAGAGCTTCGGCTTGTGTTTCCCTGCGACTGAGAGGAAAAGGCGGTTTTTGTGTCCTCCACAGTGGAACTCATAACAGCCTTTTTTTCTAGCAGGATCTCCAGAGGGACTCACTCTCTCTCTCTCTCTCTTCCCTACATCACCCCCCCCCCGGACTTCCACGAGTGCGTGATGTCTCTGGGCTCCATTTAATTTTCAAAATCTCAGTCCTTGTAAATGCACGTCTCTTCCTCCAGCTTCCCCGAAGGCCCATTTTTATGGTGAAGATCAATACAGGTCATGGTGAAACTGGCGGCCAAATGCATCGTGGCGGGTGAGTCCCTAAACTGGCCACCACGGTTTTCAGTTGTATCATCATCATCTTTTAAATAAGGCCTGGATAATCCTAAATCAAGACTTGGGTCAGGAAACTCAGTTACTTCCCAGCGGTTCCCTATCTTAAACATTGCACTTAAAATGAATTGGGTAATTTGGAAATGAGGATTCTGCTTGATTCACAGTATGCTGAGATTCCTCCTAACACTTAAATTGAGCAGCCGAGCGATAAGATTGGCTCCTTTGGCTTAGTGTCAGTACTGGTATATTCAGTAAACTATTAACACTTTGCTTAGTCTTACTCAGGGGAATTGTGGATCCAATCGTTTGCTAGTTGCTACTTTGAAACAATTCAGGCTGGAGTTTTTCCAGTCTTAAACCTAAGGATGAAACTTTTGAGATTTCCTTCACGCAAGTCATGTGTTCTACTGTTGTGCTAAAAATTTTAACCAGTAAGGATTACTTGCAAGGCAGGTGGATGGAGCACACATAATTTCCTTACCTTTGTAGGACAGTGTTCTTTCCCTACATGTCTGTTAGTTTGAAGTGTCTTTTAGATGTCTCTAAATCCAAGGTTTTTCAAACTTAAGGCTGCAGAACCTGTTAGCTGAAAAATAATTCCCAGAACACCAATAAAGACTTTTTTTCCTGGTTTCTATTAGTCTCTCTCAAAACCTATCAAAATATATACATTGCCAAGATCTACACTGCATTGGCACAGGGTCTGCACTGCAGTGGGTGATGAGAATCAGGGTGAATTAGAACAGTAAATTAAGACAGACATAGGGTGTGTTAATGGTGGAGAAAGGTGGTAAGGGTAGCTGGGTAAATGTCTGTAGTATGACATAGGCAATTATATAAGAAAAATACCTCAACCCCAAATTGTGGGATGTTTATCTGTTCTAAGTAAGGTCTGTACCACATACAGGCCACGAGGTCATTGGCATTTTTTTAAAAAAAAATCACTAGAAAAAACTGCCACCCTAAAAAACACTGCTAAGCACCTCTTTTTTTTATTTGTGCCCTTTTTTGCCCATTTTCAGCTTCATAGTATCAGTTCTGAGGTATTTGATGATTACAACTACTGTCAAGTCATCATAGATTAAAATAGTATTCTAATGGGAGCTTTATTGTTTAATTTTGTTCCTAATTATTTCAAGCATGGAATTTGTCCCACACACTGATATTAAAGAGGATACTGGAGGTTGGTGCTTCATTCTGTAGCATGCCTGCTAACTATTTAACATCAAGCTTCTTTTTTAAAAAACTAAATTAAATTCAAATCAGCCAGGAAACCTGGAGGGTATTATACCCTTGATTCATCCTTGAATTTCTATGGGTTTCCTTTTCTGTGGAAAGCCTAATATAAATATAGGCTTGTTTAACATAGACAATAATAATAAAATGGAAGATAACTCATGATTTCTTAAGTAGAAATGGCTTAATCAAAGAGCTTTTTCATCCATTTGTGATGCAGGTGATTCAACTGTGGGGAAGACTGCTTTGGTCCAGATGTTCTGCAATGATGGGGCTCATTTTCAGAAAAACTATACCTTGGTGAGCCTTATGATAGACTGAGAGATTCTGAGGAACTAAGTATTAATTATGATCCTTAAAATCAATATTAGAACAATTTTTTAAAAATGCTAGAATCAGTTTATACCCAGTTATTTTCAGGTGGGAAAACTATTCAGTTCCATTTTACACATACACACAAACACACACACACAGAGAGAAGGCCTGTTTATATAGAAGCTCAATTGGATCTGGCAAATATAATGCCGATCTGATCTGTATACTTTATACCCATACTCAAGTAATATAGAATTAACTTTAAAGGCTTTTAGTAAAGAAGATATTTAAATTAAATGAATAAATCATTTTTTCAGCCTAATTTTGTTTTTTCAGCCAAGATTTTAGAATTAAATTTGAGTTTCTCTGGCTGAAAAATATCTAGCGCTGGGTATTGTAAAGGGTCACTTGAGAGACCTAACAAGTTGTAAAATAAACTGATTTTATTATTGATATATTTTTCCATGTTCTGATCGTTAAGACAGTGGGAGTGGAACTATTGGTGAAGACAGTACCTATTCCAGGAACAAATGATAGTGTGGTAAGATTGGCTATGATATTTAATATATATATATATATATATAAAAACTCCTTGAACAGACAGTTTTCTCAGAAATATTATTTGTGTTTTGTTACTTTTAGCTATTTGTGTTCAGCTGCATGTGGAACTTTAATATTGGCTTTGTAGAATGGCCCTTCATTGTCTATGAATCTTTTAATCTGAATTTCTCCCAGATTAAAAAAATAGAAAAAGTCAAAATTAATTGCATTGTTATTTCAAATTTATTGAAATTTGAAATTATAAATTTCAATAAACTCCCATGAACTCTGGGTGACTTATAAATACCAAAACAGTAACAGCAGTTAAAAATACAAAGTACCATAGGGACCACAAACTAAGGCAATCATAACAATAACAAATCGAACCGAAACAGGCTCACAAACACATCATCCTAAAATAATGGCCAAAGCCAAGTCTTAAAGGTGTTTCATATCTCCAGGAAAGAGGGAGATGTCTATACTTCTGGAAAGATGCTGTCTAGAGAATAGAGCGATAAGAAGGAAGGCACACTTCTTAGTCCTATAAAACAACACCTTTTAATAAAGATCTGGAGCATACCCACTCTGCCAGAACATATTGGTTGTCCCAAAAAATTGGAGATAGGCAGGCCCTAAGATATCGAGGCCCTAAGCTATTAAGGGCTTTATAGGTAATAACCAGCATATTAAATTGCACCTGAAATCTATTGGCAACCAATCACCATAATAGCAATGGTGGTGGGTATCCTGAGAGTCATCCATTAATGTTTGCAGTTCTTCATTTTGTATCAACTTTAGCTTCCAGATGGTCTTCAGGGGCAATTCCATGTACAAAGGAATATAATTATTATTGCGATTACAATAATCCAGTTGTGCAAATTACTTACTTCATTTTTTGATACTATAGAGGTAGTCCTCGACTTAACAACAATTTTTAGTGACCATTTGAAGTTACAATGGCACTGAAAAAAGTGACTTATCACTATTTTTCACACTTATGACCATTACAGCATCCCCACAGTCACATGAATAAAATAGAGATGCTGGGCAACTGACTTGTGTTTATGATGGTTGCTGTATCCCAAGGTCACATTGATCCCCCAAAATCAATGGGAAAACCAGATTCACTTAACAACCATGCTAATTTAACAACTGCAGTGATTCGCTTAAGAAAAGTGGCAAGAAAAGTCATAAAATGAGGCAAAACTCACTTAACAAATTTCTCACTTAACATACATTTTGGTCTCATTTGTGGCTCAGTTGAGGGCTATCTGTATATTTGCCTTCTCCAGTCTTTTTTAAATACAAATTGCATTATGTAAGCTTAATAAATATTATAACTATCTCAATTTGCATAGAATATTCAACATAGTATTTTTGTTAGAAGTATTTTGGCTTTTGTATATATTTGTTTGAGCCAAATGTTTTAAAGGTGGTTTTTGTGTCATCAGAAAACCCAGTAAGAGGAGAATGTATGAATATATTCACAACACAACCTATGTGAATTTTTTTTACATCTTTTGTGCCAAATTTATTTTAAGATCTCATAGTCATTGAAAGTCTTGTATTTTTGCACCAGAAATATGTAACTGTTAAATTGCTATTTTCATTACAGTATGCATTAAGTTAACTGGGAATAATAACTGGACCTATTGGTTTATGTAAAGAAAAGTTGTTCAAGATCTATGGACCATTCCTTGAACTCACTCCATTGCAGCTGTGTATTGTGGTGACTCAGCACCACAGGCTAGTTCTTGAGGGAAGAGGGGGCATGCGAGAATGGCATCTTTGCAACTTAGTTATGGCCTGGAGCTATTCTGTCTGTGGAGTGTGAATTTATGATTTAACTCAATAAATTACATGTATCTTTTATGCTGCAAGCTTATTAGCTGCTTGCGGAAAGAGACATTTCCCCACAGCTGTGGCTGAAAATTCTAAAATTCAGAAGCTATTCTGAACTATGGAATATTTTTTAATTAAACAATATATTTGTTCTCTTTTCAGGAATTCTTCCTCTTTGATTCAGCAGGCAAAGAACTCTTTTCTGAAATACTAGATAAATTGGCAAGTGTAAAAATCTTTATTTACCTGTCTTTTCTCCTGAAATATCTGCTGTTTACTTGGATGCTATGATTCTTATTTTAAAATGTTTCTATTGTATTTGTTTTATTTCAGTTATAGTATATGTCAGTTATAGTATATATCACTTAATTTTTGAGACTGTACAATATAGAAGATATAGAACAATTTTTTTCACAAAATAGAAAAATGTCGGGAGAAAATAAGTACCATCTCACAAATCAGACAATCTAGCAGGAGGTGCACCTACTCTACCCCAAGGCCAAGGGAAAAAGCTTGATCTTAAGGGCTTGTCTAAACAGGGTTGGGGAAACAGACATATGACTCTCTAGGGGGAATGTCATTTCAGAGCACAGCCACTGTCACAAAGAGGCTCTATTTTCAGAGTTCCATTAGGGTGGAATTGCTTAGTAGACTCTTGAGTATGCCAGATCAGCAAATAGTTCCTAAAATATCTAGTCTCTATGCCATGAAGGTCCTTATAAGTGATAACCAGCACCTTCAATTCTACATGGAAGACAGTTGAAGCTTCCAAATGGTCTTTAAGAACAACCCCAGATAGAGCACACTGCAGTGGCTCAAATGCAAGATTACCAAAGTTCAAGTTCATTACCAAAGAAATTAGATAAACTAAGAAATTCTGTGTCTAGGGGGGTGGGGTTTGGCCCATCAGGACTCCCATCTGACCTATGAAACCAGAAAGCTCCCGGAAAGCAATACCAGTTCCTCACTAGGCAGTTCCCAAGCCTTTGTTCATGTGTTGCCTTTCCCAGTATAAAAAATGTCAAAGAATAAAACTGGCTGCTTAAAACTGCCTTATTTGCTGAGTTTCTTACCTGAATACATTTCACTCCTTTCCTCTGTCTGTGTAGAAAAAAAAAGGGCAGAGATGGATTGTTTTAAGGGGTGCAGCTTTGTGGAAGAAAACCATAACCCATCATTTGGAGGTGTCATAGAGAGCAAATATACCTGTTTAGAAGAAAACATGCTATACGTCTCCATGCAGTGGTAGCTGGTCTGATACTTGTGCTAGAAAGTTCAGTTGTGTTATTTTCTATATCTTAATTGTTCAGAGATCTTGAATATGTATTCTTGTTTTGCAAGTTTAAAACACAGAAGTAGCTGTAACTGTTTTAATTTGTTTTTCTTAATTGATAATTCAAAGAGTAAAGGTAACCCACATTTACTTAACAATGTCTCTAATTTTTTTAAAAAGTAGAAAGTTTAATTGCAATTAAAGGCATCATTTCTCTTCCTCTTAAGTTATTTCTATCTTGAATCAAATCACTTTGTTTCCTTGAACATGGTTGATATTCCAGACTTTAAAACAAATGAACTCTTATTAAATGTTGTTTTGTTCATTCCTACATTTTTGGATACATGTTCCCTTTTATTAAATAAATGATATTTCCAAATGGAATGGATTCTGGATTTTTGTAAAAAAAAAAAGACTATTTTAAACTGGATTTTATTATGCTTCTTCTACAACAATATTTTGTCATTTTTCATACAGGATATGGATGATTTATTTCAGCATAATTTATAGTGTTTTCCTTTTACTATATAGTGGGAACAGCCCAATACCCTGTGCATTGTGTACGATGTCACCAATGAGCAATCTTTCAATAACTCTGCTAAGTGGCTAGAAAAGCTGAGAATCCAAACATCAGGCATTCATACTCCAGGTAGAAAATTTTAATATATATAAAATGTATATATATTATAAATTTGCATACATGCATATATATTTTGTTTCTACATCTCATACTCCTCAAATATGCTGGAAAACAGAACCTTAATGCCAAACAATTGCTTTCTTCAGTTTACTCAGACATGCATTGCAGAATTGTTAAATTTATATTCTAGCTTATTCCTTTGTGATCCTTTTCTCTTGATAAATGTCAGACAACTCTTGTTAGCTTGCTTATCTGTAACAATCCAATATTTTCTTTTCTTTTTCTTTTTTTTTAGGTGTCCTGGTGGGCAATAAGATTGATTTAAGTGATAGGAGAGTTGTAGAGCGCAAACAAGCACAACAGTGGGCAGAAGCAAATGGCCTGGAATACTGTGAAATATCAGTAGTGAGTAGCTTTACTTTACTGGATCTATCTAAATGCATTTATTTTCATTTTGAGGAAAGGCTGGATTACTTTGGTTGATTTATGCAGTAGCTTGATGAAATAATTCTATTCATCCATTTGTAATTGTTTCTTTTTCTCTTTACAGAAAGAGATGGAAAATTTTGAAGCTCCTTTTCACATTGTGGCAAATTCTTTCCACCGATTGTACAAAGAGAAAGTAGAAATTTTTCATTCATTGGTATGAGGGGTCCTTAAGTACAATATGGTGAATTTTAAAATAAAACATACTAACTAACAGGCAAAATCATATGAAAATGGAAAGTAGGTTTTTGTTGTATGGTCATTGAGAATTATAATTCTTCAATTATTATTTCAGATCTCACCTGCTTATTGTTTTTCCTGTGATGGATCTTTTTACAAGAAACATTGTTTTTGATTCTCATTTTTGCATGTATTCAGAGTTTAAATACTTTGAAATATTTGACAAATCTATCAAGGAGAAATCTATCAAAAATTAATAAACATGCCATTACTCTGGACATTTCAACAACCCGGACAATCTGTTTCTTACAATTGAGTTATATCAAGAAATTGTTATTCAGAAATCAATATAAAAGATATATTTCAACTTTAGTTTTCTAAAGGTAGAAAATCATAATCCTTAAGAATCTTTTCTGCAACTTTTTTCCGCCATCTCGAAATATCATTTGCTGGAGTTCTATTTGAATGTTAGTAACTAAACCATTGTTATAGGCCTTTTTTGTTGCCTTTTGTAACTGCAGGGGTACCAATTATTTTAATGGAGGAAAAAGGTTGAAATGCCACTTTCCACAATGTCATTCTTAATTCTATATTCTAAAAACATTGCAGGTTAGTAGATCAATTTGCCAGGTTTTTTTCATATCTTACTAATATTGTTCATATCATGAAACACTAACTGGTGGACTTTTTAACATCACCATAATGGTATACAAAGAATCTGCTGGGAATAATAAAGAGTGATTGTATTTTGAACTGAAAATTATACTGAAAGACTTGTCATAATGAGCTGGGGGCTCAGAGCAGGTCATGACATATAGTTCTGAAAGATCCTATTGTTGTTGTTTTTTAAAAGCCTTTCAATAATGATTCTGCCAGCTAGAAATGGAACAGAAATCCATCATAGATTTAATTTCACACAAAAATGATAGAAATCCACAGATACTGAATTTGGTATCTTACTACATACAAAATGAGTGAACCAAAAATGAGGTTGGTGCATTGCTTGGGTAAATTTGAATTATATGAAAAGGGTAGGATTTCAAACTATCAGGTCTTCAATGCTACCAGAGGGGAAAACATTTTATTCTGTTGCAAGAAATGGATCCTTCTGCCTAAGTTTCCTTGCTTCTAATTTACTTGAGTTGCTTTCCAAAACTGTTGCTCTTCTTGAAATAGCTTTCTTTCTTTCTTTCTTTTTTTCTTCTTGCTCAGTGCTCTTTGCAAAAGGTCATCTGGCTCATTAAGAAAGCAAAATCTGCAATTTAAAGACCATATCAAACGTTTTTCAACAAGTTTGAGTTGAATAGTTAGGTCACAAGCTACACTATTCTGAGTGTATCAATATTTAATTAAATGTATCTTTCAGATTTAAATCTGGTAACTGTACCCTAGGGCTGTGCACCTTTCCTGACCACCTGAATCTGTATGTTTAGACACACAGCAATTTTAAATTACCGTTGAAATTGCTGCACAAAGCCTTTGAAAGATTCAGCTTTCTTGACACTTAAGCAATAGGGTTGATGGCACGCTTTGGTTATTTCACAAAGTGCTTTGCACAGCCCAGCTGTACCCTGCTGTATCCCACACACATACTTATTAATATTAACATTGCTACATGTTGCTGGATGCTTAGGAGACATCAACAGGTAACGAATACATTAATTATTTCAGTATATACAGTTAGCTATGTTTGGGTAACTCCAAGAGGATATTGCATTCCTCTTATTCCTACCATTGTTGACTTTCATATTCTAAGTGCACTTTAAGCTGAAATAATTGTTAGAGAAAATTGCAAATTGAGAGTGTTGGGCAGTTTGGCAAATACTATATTTCCAGTCCTGCATTGGAAGTTAGAATTGTCAAAGATTTTCCATTCATGGTCTTGTTATGATGATCCTGAAAGAAGATTTATTTATATTTGGGTTATTCAGATATAAAGTTTTCTTAACCTTTGTGAGCTACTGTCCTATTTGTACTTGTCAGATGGCAGCGTAAATGAAAAAAGGTGCGATTGTGTGTGATGTTCGTTTGACGATACTGCTTTTCCAAGGACTAAAGGAACAATGGTCAAGTTCAGGTCAGCAAGCAAGTAGGCAGGCATGGAATCTTTGGTGGATTTGATGAATTTGTGCTTTTAAAAATCCATGCAAGTTTTTTTAAAAAAACTGGCAGGTCATTTCTTAGAATTGATCTATTATGCCCACTCGTATAGTAAAATGTATATGAATTAAATCCAAGCCATTGATAACCATTTATTGTGATTGCAAAATGAGCTCAGAGGCCACATGGAACATTGCATATAGTTAATGGCAGAAATAACACAATATGATTGACAGAGCAATCTACGCCTGAAATGGCTTATTTCATGTCATAATGGAGACAGCCCAGTCCAACTTCATACTTGGTTCTGGATTGACATTAAGAAAAGCCAATCCATAATCTAACATAGGAAAAACATAAATATTTGTAACTTGAAATATAACATCTGTATGTAACCTAGACTCTACCAAGATTCACATCAATATGTGAACATACTTTTTTTAGCCACCATTCTTTAAAAACTTTTCTTTAAAATGTTTGTATTTTGTAGGGACAATTAACAAGTAAATGATGCAGCAATAAAAGTCTTTACATTTCTATTCCAAATTTTGTTTATGGCTAATAAGCCCGCCCACTTTTTGATTAATTTCTAGCATTCCTTGCCTCTTAAATTTTATATACTGATTTCAATATTTTATTGCACAGACTTCTTCTGTGAGACTGATACACAGCTCTTAAATATAAACAAATGTATGATTGTGTCAAAGGGGCAGATTAAACTCTGCTTTAGTGGGAGAGTGTTACATACACAAGGTGAGTCTAAACAAAACTCTTTCTATTCTCTATATTATCATGGTTGGAGATCTAAGAATGGTTTTCTTAGGCAAGAATTGAACCACAACAGCTGCCACTGCTGTTGATAGTTGATAGTGCTTGAATTCAGCCTAGTACTGAATAGAATATAGCAGTAATTTTGACAATTTTTAAGATTAAAATCATAATCCCTAACCCTTCCTTTTTTTAGGATATAATAACTCAATATTGTTCCCTCTTGCATCAAAGAGAATCAAAATGAGATATTCTTGAATTTACTTTTTTTCACTCTCTCTCTCTCTCTCCCTCCCTCCCTTCCCCCCTTCTCTCTCGTTGCTGTTTATGTAATCATTCTTGCAATGCTCCTTTAACATTATCTTCATACTACACTACATATGGTGTGGCTTTCATTCCTTACGGATAGGAAAAATGGCTAAACAGAAGTGACAGCTAGCAGAAGAGAAGGGATAGAGAGCACATAGTTAAAGAAGACTTCATGGGAGCAGGCTACTTTCGATAAACTTGTTTTTCTTCACCAAGCAAAAATTGTACTAATTTTTTACTGGGTCTGGGTTTATTACTTATAAATGTCATCTTTTTGGAAAATATTACAAATTTTAGCACTGGGCATGAGTCTTTTACCCTATTCATAAAGCCCATCATCTCTAAATGTTGTCCTGTTTTTAGCTGACCAAGAATATTTTTATATAAAATTCTAGATAGAGTTTAGGATTTCTCCAGCCAATGGTATGTTCCAGTTGATACTGACACCAAAATTATTATTTACTTCACAGTCCTAGGAAAGGATTGAAATGTGATAATCAAGAGTATTAATATGAGTTAAAATATATTTGAATTAGGGTTATCCTAAGCAGACATCCCCTTCATTCTCCTAGCAAGACTGCTTTCATTTATTTTACCATCTGCTCTTCAGTGCTGGAGATGATGCTGGAGATATGTGACTTGGGGCACTCAGGCGGAAACTGGCCTGCACAAGGCCAGGCATGTGTTTGTCTCCTAGCAATGCAGCGGTCAGCAACAAAAAAAATTGCTGCCATATCGGAGAACAAGTGCTTGGAAATATTTGAGATGCAACAAGATGGGCTGTAGGAAGGCAAGATTTGGGGAGGATCAGGAGACAAGAACTGTGGTACGAAGGCAGGATGATAGGCTACATGCAGATGTAGTAAAAGAGAGATTAAATAACCAGATCATTTAAAGATATTGAGATATTAGAAGACAGGGATACGTGGAGTTGGTAGTTGCTGACAAAATAACTTCATCTGTCCTATCAATGAGGAAATAGAAACAGTATTGAATCAAGACTGATGGTTGGAAATGCCATAACAAAGCAAGAACAATTCTACCACATGTGGTGGTTAAAAACCTCAAAGGTACCCTAAAGAAATAATCAGCATATTCAAATGATTCCAAACAATACATTTCAAACTGCAGCCATGTTTTTTTTATTAGGTATGATTCCAGAAACAAAACAAAAAAAATCACAGCTTGCTAAGATATTTGTTAACAATTGCAAAAGCAAACTTGTCACAACACACTAAAAAAGAAATCTTGATGATGTCAGATTGGAAAACTAAAATTGGAGCATGAGCTGTAATGGCAAAATGGACAGTATATCTGGGTCAACTACTACATGACCCAGACAGCAGGTCTTTTCGGAATTTCTGTATTATATGAGGATATTTTGTGCAAATGGTTCTTGTGGCTGTAATATCAGTGATAATTCTCACATTCTTCTGAAGTAAGGGTACCACCAAGAAAGCCTCCAGAGATGTGGCTTTAATGCACAGGTAAACAGGAAGTTATTATCAAGCATTGGGTGGTATCAGCAGGGCCCCTTCTGTTAACATGTTTTCACCATAATTTGGGGACCTCACCATCTTCCCAAGCAATTGGAATTTCATTAACAGGAATGAGCATGCTTGGATGGACTATATGGCTGATGAAGTAAAAGCAGATCCAACAGTTAGTTTGATTGCTGACAGCTGACTAACATTTAAAGATATTCTTTCCTCCTTAAGATCTCAGTTTCCATGAAGGAGCAGGATGAAATGGGTGAGCTTCATAGATTCTTAAACACCACCTGCTAAGGAGCCAAGAGAAGGTGTTGGAATTGGAACGGAGGCTTCACCACAAGTCCTCAAGCTGTTAATACATCAATTTAATGCATCAGATGATGCCTATTGACAGATCTGTTAGGACATGTATACAGATGTCCTAACATGATTTTATATAGCATGAGGAACTGATAGCCAAAGGAACTGCAGTGATTTGCTTAATGACTAGTAACGTTTTATAGCAGGATGAAACTCACTTAACAATTGTCCTGCTTAGCAAAGGAAATTTGAGGCTTAAGTGTGGTCATAAGTTGAGGATTACCTGAAACAGCATTGCTTTTTATTCCTCTGCAAATGCAAATATGTAGGGACTATACATACTTATATCTGTGATATATCTCATGTTTATATTAACTCTCCACAAAACCAGTCATTTCCTTAAATATGGACACTTATGCATAGTGTGATAATTCATTTTTACTTAAAATTTAATTGTTAACCAGGTTTAGATTCCATGAAACTTAGTTTTAATATCAATCAAACTATAGGAACTAGCAGAAGCTAAAATGGTTTGTCTTTAAGGGGATGTTGTCTTGTTGCTTATGAATAAATACTGATCTCTAACTAGTAGAGTTTGTTTTAGCTAATGTTGTTTGTAATGAAATTTAGCTTTATGGTGCATTTCTTAGCAACTAATGTCTTAGAAACTGAAGTCTAGCTAGGATTATGTTTCATAAGCTCATTTATCTTTTCGATTATTTTCTTTGAAGATAGTGTATGTGTGTAGTGAGCTATTAAGTCTTTTTTGACAAAGCAGTTCTGCTTGCTT